CATCTTGATCTATTTCCATTTCATGATTTAGATAGATCGAACTTGAACCTTGGCCTTTTGTCAATAATGTAAAAAATTAACAAACGACCAGATAACAGTCGATACATGCTAAAGAATCAGGCTTACAGAATGATTGCAAAAAAGGCAAGAGTCGTCGTTTACTTATAAAGCTTACCGTTATTCTGTATAATTGTAGAAGCCAAATTTTTCAATTTCTCCGGAACTATAATTATATTAAATTAATCAATAAAAATATCCAGATAATTTTCATATGATTCGAAAATTAAATACAAACCTATAACGGGCGCAGTTATAGGCCTTTGGGATATATCTAAGCCATCCATAAACAACTTATCATTTGCCTGGAATGCTAAAAATAAAACAAATAGGTAAATACAAAAGATATCATAATAGCAGAATAATGATCGTGAAATGCCTATCACCTACATATTGCAGCGAGACTTTGTTTCGCTATAATTCTTCTTTTCTCATCCTGCATTGGTTTTTTCTATAGTAATAAAGGAGACGATTAATGATCACGTGGGATTTGAACAATGAACAAGATAAAAAATCACTTTTCTTGGGAAAGAATAAAAAGGAGAACGTACACTATAAAATCTAGGCTTTCCATTTTTTTTTTTTTCGATTCGACCATTTTGCACAGTTTCTTTCCCTTTTTCAAGCTTTGAAAATAATTTTGGAGTCTTGTGCGCTTTGTCAATATATTCATCACCTCCCTCCTTCTCACGATCTGTCGTTCCTTGGGAAAAAAATATGTGAGAATTGTCTTCAAAGTAAGGCCCACCCATCGTAATAAGTAAAATAGAGGTTGTTATATATATGCGGATCGTCTATATTATATCTATTTTTTCGAAAAATTGACTAATACTTTGATAGCGTTGGAAGATTGAAGGCAAAGAGTAATTAGCTAGCCTTTTAGGGTGCTCGTTGCAATTATGTTGGAGGAAAAAAAAAAAAAGTCGTCATACATTCGTACCAAAAGAATGTTTATATTATTATCCCGTGATCTTGGCCAAAATTAAATCCATCAATTTGATAATTTCAGTCAACAATTATTAACAGACCTTTATGCCTCGTTTCCTTATTTGAATTAGAGACAAAAGGAAATTCTAAAAAATGATAATTAATAATAATAATAATAATAATAACGATAATAATAATATAATAATAATAGTATATAGCGATAGTAGTAATTAGTACGTACTAGTATTATTCTCGTTATTACTTTAACTTATATAATTCCGATGATAGATACACAGTTAAACCTGACGAAAACCACAGCCAAAGTCGAATCGATATTACGTACGTACGTAGAATTATATTCGAATTATATTCATTATATAGTTTGTAACATTTAAATATGTAGTATTTTTTTTTTTTTTTTTTTTTTGCGTAATACGACATAAGAATCTGGAAAAAGAATGTTAGAGAATGATAGGTCTGTCTTTGATGATTTTTGGGTTTAAATGAATATACTACGTACAAAACAGTAGGATTCGTTTAAGTTTATATTTATCTAGAATAGATCAATAGTTCTCGAGATATGGTCATAATATGAAGATAGTAAAAAAAAATTAAAAAGTCATAATGATAACAGACAATAAAGACAATAAAGAGAAGAATGAATAAATAATCCTTTTTTTATAACTTTTGAATCTAAATGTTCATAGCATTAAACTCATTATCAACTGTTTTTGAAAATAGTGGTGTTAGGGGCGTGACATTATAATGTAATATATATTTTTAAAAGAGTTCTATCCATTGTATTCATTATTATAGATTGTATATCGATTGTATATCGATTGTATAGATTGTATAGATTGTATAGATTGTATAGCGTGATCAATATCGTACGACGCCAATTTTTTTAAGTGTAGATCCATTTAATATTTTTGATTTTAAATGAATGCTATTTAATCTGTAAGATTCAGAAAACATTGAAACAGCAATAACTATTCTTTGCGGATTGTATGTACTGTGTACTGTGCTGTACATACATAAAGTCGCATCAATCTTTATAGTTAACAATATATCGTTTCCATATTAGTTTATGTTTTCTGTTCAACGATAAACAGAAAAACTATTAACATTGTCAAAATATTAACTAAAGAAAAGATTCATGTTTATTTTTATAATATAATTTGTTATATTACATACTAACTATATTTTAACGATAATTTGCATGAATTGATAATTGTTACAAATACTAAAAATACACCGCTGTACAATTTACACAAATAAATAAATTATATGATCATATACTACATGTTAAGATATATCTAAAGATATATATAAATTACAAGAAAAAGGGTTCATTTTAATTTTAATAAACTTAGGGTGCTCTCAAGCACCTAAATCAATAGGTCTGAGTTCAATTTTTAATTAGTGGAAAATAAATTATTCGGTCAAGC